AAAAAAAAAAAAAAAAAAAAAGAGGTAAAATTCAAATCAGGAAAGTCCAAAAAAAGAGTGCAGGGCAGGAGGACCAGAAATAATGGATGAATGGTAAAAAGACATGAGTCCTCAGGTTTGAGAGGCTCCATTTAAAATAAATGAAAATAAAGTATACAAGAGCAATTAACTAGAAATCAATAAGAGGATGATCATCTCCAAACATGTGGAAAGTAATCAACAAACATCTAAATCATCCATGGTTCTAATGAGGAAGTCACACAGTAATTACGAATACATTCTTTGAAACTACTAAATATCCAGAAAAGCTGCAAAAATGATAGCAATACAGGTGAAGACCACATCAGGAATAAAAGCAGGATATCATTTCTGATGTTCCAGATTCTAAGAATAAATAAGGCAATAGTATTATAGATAGCTAAATTGTGTACAAATGTAATAGACATTCAGACAGCGCTGGGCTCCCCTGGAAGTCAGTGCAAAAGATGAGAATTAATCAAGACTGGCTGGAGAAGCATCTGAAGATTAAAGTCATAATGGCTAGCTTTACATACTTCCCTAAGGGATGAAGGGAAGTTTGGGATTATTGGTATAATCCTTTTAAGATTTCTGGTTACCTCATTAAGGATGGGCCATCTGCTCCCACCTAAGACTAGGACTAAGATTAAGAATACTAGATTAAAGACAAGGCCAAGACCACACAGTCATCCACCAAGGCTAATGACATACCCATCCACGTACCCTCCACGATACTTACAATCTTACTGGTTGATCAAAATTTTAACCCACCTTGTATCTGTCTCATGATTTTGCTCTACAAAACTTCCTTTGAGAGGTATGCTCACTGGCAACCAATCTGGGACCCCTCCTGCCTTTTAGCCCTATTCCTATTCCCCATTCCCCATTCCTATTATCCAATAAATTTTTCTACTCTTAACCTCCATTGTTTCTTAGAATTCATTCTTCGACTTTGGGGAACATGGATTCCACATATTCGACATCTAGCATTTCCCCTGTATCAGTAATAATACAACTCTACGTAAATACATCTGACAACTTACATGAATTGGAAAAATTCCTCAAAACCTTCAAGCTCTCAACATACACTTTATTTATTTATTTATTTATTTATTTATTTATTTT